TCGCTGCGCGCGACGACGGGGAGGCTCGATGCACGCAGAGCCTGAGTTTGCGAAGAGTAACACCACCGCCTGAATTTGAATGCGCATTCAGGCACATCCCCGCGTTCGGCATCGTCCCGTTCTAGGCCCGGAGCGTCTGCATCCGATTATATCCTGCCCACAGCGCCTCTCGCGTATTCCCAATATGACCTTTCCGCTATTCACCGCCAAACCTTTTGGGCAACCCTGACATCACCCTCTGAACCTCTGATCTCAGCGCTCAGCTCTGACCGGGACCGCCAACGCCAGAGATGGATATGCATTAACATTACTGACCAGCCCCTCTCACCCGGGTCTCGACCCCAGAGTAAACCTCCTGTCATTGCCCATGCAGCTGCAGTGCTGCCAGTGCACGAATCACCGTATACCTCTCAAGCGGATGCCAGACTGGAACAGACATGTCCTAAGTGGACTTGTGGCACGTTTTTACTGATCTCACTTAGGGCCATGTATATACGGTTGTGGCCGACCGTCTGCGACGATGAGCACTAGCCTTCCGCGCTAGCCATGATGCATGAAGGCTAGTGTTGGTCCGTGGTTACCACTTAGTGCGCGATCCTTGACAATGTGATTAAAATGTGTACAGTACTACATCAGTTGGCGCACCGAGGAATTTCAGGCGGTATGTGGGCGTTCAACGTTTTCTCAACGACATGTAGAGCTAGACCTGAACAGAGGCTCTGAGGTGAGTGAGAAAGGCAGGAGGTCCTTCTACTCAAGCGATGTTTCGTTCCGTTTTAGGTAACATATGTACGATGTGGTTCATGAATATTCTATAGCGAAGTCGATTGCAACGAGATGCTGTACAACTCTACGGTTCCAATTGTTAGTGATGTAGAGTTATCAAATATCACAACCCACCCCACTTCATTATATATGGATAACACAATACTCCTATGGCGTACTTTCGATGGCAAGTGGACAAGCCTTCAAGCTTGAAGCTTGAAGCGATGCAGAGCGTCGTAGCAGAGCCAGCAAGTGTTACTTAGTATGCCTCCATATGTTCGACTGGGCCATAAAGAAATCAATGCGAGCGATCGTCGATCGTAAAAGTTTCCACAGATACCTGCCCAACCCATCCGGAGGAATATACTAGTAGGTTAGAGGCAACTGCGCAAATTCCCCGGTCAGAGCGCGCGCGGAATTCCCAGTCTCTGTGTATCAGCCCCTGCCGCGGGATTGCAGGACGCAGCGTCGGTGTAACGAAACACGTTTACTATAGCTCATGCACTCAGCAGTAAGTAGACTGAGGCATTGGATTTATCCGGCTAGCGACTTGCTGCTGCATTCCGTCAGGAACGCCTTGCTCGGAACTGTGCACTGTACGCCAGTACTTACATGGCTGGTCCCTGTCTTTCCACTAATCGGCACGGCATATTTCAGAAGGGCCGAAGCCCGACAAATACTGGACCGCCCCAGCTACTGAGATGCATCATAGGCTACGGAGGCAAAGTAGGCAACGAAACGGTTCGGCCGTAAGCAGTCTCGCTCTCTCTAGCGGCCGGAACCCGGAGGTCGGAGGTCGAAGAGGCAGAGACTGGCAGAGACGTATGCGGGGGCACCCGCACCGAGGGATGCGATCATTTGATGCCGAAGCCGGGTTAGAGCCGTCACGTGATACGTAGCGTTATATGATAATATTAATAGGGCGCTCCTGAATGCGTCTGAGGCGTAAAGCCCTTATTGCAGCACTCCTTGCCTTCTTATGGACGAGGACCAGCAGGCGCGTCGCCCTTCGCTCCTGCCCCTCTGCTCGCTATCCTGTCTGCGCGAGCTACGCGCTGGCACACGCACGAGATGAATCTCCTCAACCTCAACGACGACGTCCTTACGAATATAGTCTCCTTCCTGAGATGCCGTGACGCGCTCAGTCTCTCCGCGACGGCCAGACACATCCACGACATTGCCAAACGGCGCGTGCACGCGGCAGCGGAGCTGCACTTTCCCATGCAGACGCCACTTTTCTGCGCGTATATGCTCGCCGATGTGCACAGTCGTGCCCTACGCCTGCAGAGCCTCACCGTCACTTCGAAGGCACTGTCCGTCGACGGTGGCGCTTTCAGTGCAGACTCGTCTTCTGCCGACGCGCTCGCCAATCTCCTCGAGCAGACGACTAACCTGCATATACTCAATCTGGGATGCGCGTCCGCGCTGATGAAACTCGACGAGCGGATATGGCCCGCCATCACCAACTTACGCACCCTGAAGGATCTGGCTCTCGACGACATGACCACCGAGTCCACGCGCCTACTCCCCATGCTAAAGGGACAACCCAGTAGACTCCGTATGCGCTTCGCTCACTACCCCAGCAACGTACCAGATATAAAACCGCTCCATAGCGTCTGGCATCTGGAGCTCGAAGGGATCACTATGCAGCATGACCACGTAAAGCCTAACTGGCCCGTCTGGCCCAATGTCCGCCGCCTTGACCTGGAAAACACCTCCGTTACGATGTCCGCACTCTTGCACACCTTTCCCAATATCCGCGTCTTCGTTCTCGGACGCGCCAGCATCACGGAACCCCATTTGAAAACGCTGGAGAACAAGGCAGGCCAACTGACGTGCTGGCCTGACTTGGACTACGTCTATGGGCTGCCATACTATTTTGGTGACTTCGGCACCGGCGAGTGGCCCGTGTGCTGCCCAGTGCAGCATCTGAACTTGACGGCGACTAGCTGGGAAAAGCCGCAACATCGCCAGGCGTTCTTGCGCGCGATGAAGGTGCTACCGCCAACTGCGCTAAGCTTCCGATTCCAGGACATCGGAACGACATCGTACTCTTTCTTCGTTGACCTCGTTCAGACCACGACGCGGATGAAAGCCTTGGAAATCGTGCTCGTTATACCACCCAGTGCCGGATCGAGCGATTTCCAGTGGCTTGTGAGTTTGTGAGCATATACCACGAAAGACTTTGCTGACTGGCGCGATATCGTAGGAAGGACTGATGCTCTGTCGCGTCGTGTGTCTCAAAATATCTTTCGACCGTTCGTGTTGGAACTGCAACCAATCTATCGATCCTCAGAAGCTGGTCCGGCAGATACCCTCAGTGCAATTCCTGTCTCTCCCATACTTTGGCGATCCGAATCGGCTCGGAGAGAACCGATGGTGGAAGGTCACTGGTAGAGGTATGGAGCGCACCATAGAGCGGATCTCTAATCGCCTCGGCGACCGCGTGCTCGAGTACATTCGCTCGCCCGAGTATGACCCTGCCATGAATCTAGACGGTCCGTGCTCCGCTATCTCCGTGTCTCTTCCACTCATCGACTCCTTCTGCAGACCTCGCGACATGAAGCCACGCCCCAAACATTTGTATTCTTAAGTCTTCTTGTTACCCCACATCCCCGCATTCAAATTCACTAGAACCAACCCACACGACCCACAAACCCCGATCGCATCGAGTTCATTTACGCATTTTGGCTTCCTGATCGCTTCACGGCTTCGACGCCCACTCTAGCGAGGACATCCTCGGACGTCTCCTCGGAGTTGAGCACGTTCCGGAAGCTTCCGACTCGAGAACAGACGCTGACTCAGCTAGGATGCGTCAGCCCGAGCGCTACCCGAGCGCTCATGATCACGATCACAGACTGACGCGCCATTCACCGCCACCGACCTGCGCCTTGTCTCTTCATCACCACCACTATCCACAGTCATTCTGCTATGTCCACGAGCATGGAACTCGTTGTTTCTCATCGTGGCACACAACACCGACTCTCGCTGTTGCCAGACGATACGGTTGCGCTCCTGCAAACTCGCCTCGAGGAGCTCACCTCCGTGCCCCCTTCCCTCCAGAAGCTGCTGTTCAAGGGCAAGAAGCCTAGCTTCGAAGGAGCCGAGACAATCTCTCAGGCCGGGCTTAAGAATGGCGCGAGGATTCAGATGTTAGGCTCGACGTCGGAGGAGCTTGGGAGAACGCTAGCAGCTGAGACCGAGCATCAGAGGAAAGAGCGGATATTGCGGGAGAGAGCGCTGAAGGCTCCCATACATGTGTGCACGCTATTGTATCTATCCGTTTGCATTCGACTGACCTCTGTCTTAGGTTCGATCCTCTGGCTCATCGTCCACATCTTCCTCCCAATACGCGTTCCACCGCATCGAGCCCCTCGCGCACCTCCCCGAGCCCGCTTCCGCGCGCGCGCTCCTGACGCGACTTGCCCACGACCCAGCCATTCGGCACGTCATGCAGAAGCACCACCTTGCCGTTGGCCTCCTTACCGAGCTCGCCCCGCACGAACAACCTCACCTCCTCGGGCTGAACGTCAATGCGGGGCAGGCCATCAAGCTGCGTTTGCGCACGGACAGGTACGACGGGTTCCGGTTGTACAGCGAAGTGCGGAAGGTGCTGTGCCATGAATTGTCGCACAACGTCTGGGGCGATCACGACAATAACGTAAGTCCGCGAGCTCTATCATCGTCTGTTATGTCACGTTGACAACATATGCAGTTCAAAGAGATGAACTCCCAGTTGAACCGTGAAATTGCGGAGTTCGAGCGGACTACCGCGGAGGGGACACACCATCTCACAGGCACCGGCGACGCATATCAGCCCTCGTCGGAGCTTGAGGCGGAGGCTCAGACATACATTCTTTGTGGTCCACCACAGACCTTGGGAGGTACCACACCGACTGCTTCCGGGGATGAGTCGCGTGAGGATAGGCGGAGGCGATTATTAGAGGCCACCATGAAACGACTGCAAAAGGAGGAGGAAGAGCTAGAAGAGAGATGTGGCACAGCAACTTCATAGTATGCTTTCTTGTAGATATAGTCTCTTTGTAGCCATTAGTATTGTACCACTGGGACTTGTGATTTTCTAGGGTCTAGATTGGCTGCAATGATTGGCCACTGCAGCGATTTGGCTCTGCGTAGGTCATGGCAAGCAAAATGACGATGTATGCTTCCGTACGAAAACGAGAGCATCTGCAATGGAGGAGACTAGCTTGAGTAAAAAGCACGAAAAGGATGGATGGCCAGCGCCGGGATCGAACCGACGACCTTGGCGTGCCATACTAATCTCCCATCGTTACCGTGGGAAACTGTATTAGCACCACGCTCTAACCAGCTGAGCTAGCCGGCCATGAAAGTCATTACACTGTGCAAGAATATGTCTTTGCGTCATAGTGGCAGGCCATTCGGCGACGTGACCAAAGCCACACGACTTACATCATAGTATCATACCTTGGATTTTACTTCTGTCTATCATCACCGCTCCTCACTAAACCGTCTACATCTCGCGTCACACCATGCCTACGAGGAGACCTACTTCAATGAAACAGGGGACCCTTGCCTTTACCTCTGGCAAGCGGACAACATCTACAGGTTCGAAGGCGAAGGCGTCTCGGCCTATAACGAAACGCTCGTTATCGTCTTCTGTCGAACCTACCGCCCCGGACGTCATTCACATTGGGAGCAGCGATGATGCAGTCTCAGCCGAGGAGATTCAAAGCGACAGCGACTTTGGAACGACTCGGAAACAGCAATCAAAGGGGAAGAGGAAGCCAGATGCGGAGAGCATCAGCGAGGGCGAGAGTGAGGACGAACCTGCGCCCAAGAAGCGAAAGCTGAGAGGTGGGGCTGCGGACCGGAAGGGCGTGTTCGGGTCGCGGGAGGGTGCGGAGAACATCGAGAAGCCCGACGTTGCGGCTGCGCCGGTGAAGGCAAAAGCGAGGCGTGCTAAGGCCCGCACGAGTTTCGATGAACCGTCGCCAAGGATTGAGAGGGGGAAGGGTGAGTTGGACGACTTGCCGAGGGATGGGCGGTGGACGAAACATTATGGCGCAGTGAGGGAGAAGATGGGCAATCTCGAACCTGGTGAGTGTGATTCCTGCCTTCGCAGCGGTGCGTTGGAGGGTGGATATACGCGCTGCACGGATACATCCTGCATGCTGGGAGTCATGAGGGCGGGGCTTTTTGATTGAGACTCGCTTCGATTGCATCCAGTCTTACTCTATGGTCTTTGTATACAACGCTAAATATTTCTCTCGTCTCGACAACAGTCCACGGCCAAGGTCAATTTCCTGTTGACCACATTCTGCGGGTGTTCGATCTGTACGTGGAGACTCCAGCTCTGGCACCGTACATGACCTCATTGCGATGTGATCCCCGTCAGATCCTACGAGTACGGTCCTTGCGCTGGCGTGACCCGACTAGAAAGGTGGAATCGTGCTGAGGCTCTCGGTCTCAGCCCTCCCCCGGAGGTGCGTCTCATTACTCGTAACCAAACACTGTGATCTTATTATATGCGGATTCGTATAGGTCAAGGAGATTTTGCTGACCAAGGAGGGCAGCGAGAATCCGCGCTTCTCCGAATGTATCTTTCATGGCGAGGTGTAGTGCCGTGCGCCGCTGTGCTGCTCTGTTCGCTTGCTCTGCTCTGCGTCTGATTGCTGTTCGCTGTGTTGTCTCCACTCTCCAGTCTTCGTGGATTGCACCCGATGCCGTGTATTGTACCGACCGTCGTGCTTCAAGTATCGCATATATTCGTCTTCATGTAAGTGTCGAAGTCGGTGCGAGTGCTGTCTGTCTTCGGTATGTAAGATCGTATTGACGCTGAACGGCATCTAGGCCCGTGGGGAAATGGTTCCGTGAATCGATTGGTAGATCTGACCGGTGGACGACAGTGCCCCCGATAAGAGCGTCCAACACGTTGCTAGGTCACCCTTGCCTCAGCTTGTATGCAACGTAGTAATCCCAGAATATCCCAGTTTCTTGATGCCATCTCAGGGCGACCGGCGTAAGCACAACCTTAAGATCTTCTTTGTTCCCTAACCTCCACACCCACATCCCCACTGACTTTCTCCGCCTGCTCGCTCGTTTGCCCGTATAACATATCCTTCGGCACTGCTAATCTCTAGACATGCCCTCCTCATCCACCTCTGGCAGCTCGGAGGACATTTCTGCCGCTCCTGAATTGCAAGACAAACCGCAATCGTCTTCCGACGTACTCAAGCATTCGCTGTCAGTCCAGACAGAGGAAGTCAAATCCCGGCTTCCAACCATCGAGATTGCCGCGCCAAAGTCGCCTATGAAGTTGCTCCAGTCGCCCATCGCGAACCTCAGGTCCCCGACAAGGTCGAGTGCAGCTACACAGCCCCTGCCACCCGGCGCGTATAAGCAACGATTTCGTGCCACGGTCCACCGTGTCATGGCGATGCGTCGCGCATCGATGCTCATGTCCTCAGGGCGCATCGGTGCGGAGCCGGGGATCGACCCCCGACGCGCGAGCGCGAACGCTCACTACGGCCACATCCGCCAACAGTGCGTGGTAGAGATTGTGGACTACTCCGTGACGAAATGCAGCGTTGGCCGGATGACGAATCGCCAGCTGGTTGAGATACTGGGCTCGCCGCAGGCGGCTAAGCGGGAGCCATGGGCGAGGGTGCGGTGGATCAACGTGGGCGGGATCAGTTGGGATGTGCTGAGTGCTTTGGCAATCAAATATGGTGCGTTGGTTCGTTCTTCTCATTAAAGGCACAGGGTACAATGCGCCCGCAGACATGCACCCCCTCGCCATCGAGGACGTCATCCACCAACACGGCAATAACGCCCGTTCCAAGGCGGATTACTACCCACAACACCTCTTCCTCCGCATACTCTGTCATCGCCTGGCTTCTGAAGATGATCAGTCGGCCGATGAAGTACCCGATGATACGGAGAACATGGAGCTTGATGGGATACCGCGCTCCGAGTCTCCTGGGCCTATGGAGGAGTCGGACTACGAGCAGAAGACATGGAAGGAAAAGCGGCCGAACCCTTCCAGATATCCGACCAGTCGATTTGGGTCCACTAACCGGGCAACGACGGAGGACCTGGAGATGGTCCCTGGGCAGCAAGCGAGAGCCACCTTGATGTCATCCCAGCCATTCAAGGTGAGTGTTGACCGCTTGAGGAGTTTGGTATGTGCTCAGTCATAGTGGGACATTCCGTAGAAGAATCACACACGCGACTGGAAGATACTCCAAAAGCTTAAATTTGAGAACGAGGACCGGGTGAACGTGAAGATCAGCCCGGTATGCATCTTCCTCTTCCGCGACGGTGCGTGATCATCCATAATATCCCAGCAGTGACCACCCCGTCTGACTCTTGTTCAGGCACGGTAATATCGATATCGAAAGGTCCATACTTACCCCGATGACACTCTTCCTGTAGTGCTCACACAATTGATAGAAACGAACCTAGACTTCATGGCACCAATCCGAGAACGCTTGCGCCAGTTCGATACTGGCCTACGGAAGAGTGCAGACCCATCTCTGCTCGTGCAGAGCCTGATCGATCTGAGTGCGTCCCTATGCCGGCTTATCTCTGCGCTCACTCATGTGTACGTGTTCGCACGCATTCATAGTCGTCGACCAGGCTTTGGAGGTCGTCGAGGAATACCAGGTAAAAATTCTCAAGCTCGAGCAGGATGTGCTCATGCGCCCGAAGATGAAGACTGTTACTGCATGTGCGTCTCATTTTGTCGTGCCTACCTATGCTCAAGGCCGTAACATCTTGCAGTGCACATGCTTCAAGGAGACCTAAACATGCACAAGCGTACGCTGGAGCCGATTAAGACGCTCGTATACAGCCTGCGACGGTACGACGCCGACCGTGCGGCAGTAATCATGGCGAACGAAGGAAAAGTGTGGGAGGCTGTGACCAAGCCAGTCGGGTACATGAGTGAGAAGTCAAAGACATACTTAGTACGCGCATTTCACCAATATCTGTGGTCGAGATTGAGGGGGAATCTAGGCTGACGTGCACGACCACATGGAGTATATCCTCATGAGCTTGGACATGTTCGCAGGGGTCAGCGACAACCTCATTAACTACACGTGCAATGTGCGTCTGCTTAGTTCTGTCTATGGCCATTGCTGACATTGGTTTAGATGGTGTCATATCAAATGAATGAGGGCATGTGCGTCGTTGCCGGCAAGATTATCAAGGGGCAGAACACACTGACACCTTGTCTAGGCGAAAGCTGACGCTTGTCACCATCATTTTCCTCCCGCTCACGTTCCTTTCCGGGTACTTCGTGAGTAGACCTCTGCACCACGCACTCGCTCCTGACGTGCTGTGTAGGGTATGAACTTCACAAAATTTTGGGCGGTTTACGACGACAATCATAGTGATCTCCTGTGGGTCCTTCTTCCCCATATTGTGGGAGAGCACTGATAGAAACAGTGTCCACGTAGATTCTGGGAGATTGCAATACCAATCATGATGGTTGTGGCCCCATTGTTCCTTTGGCCGGACTTCATGCGGCTCGGGCAATATATACAGAAACGCTTCATTCGGCGGAGCATAACGAAGGTGCGTCGCACTTTAGGAGTTGGCCACTGACAGAGGTATGGCTTGTATTGACATGCTTAAAGAGCTTTAAGACCAAAGTGCAGTAATATTGCTGGGGTATCTTAGTGTGGACAAGGGATCTATATGTCGGGATTTTCACTCTCTAATTGTTGTTCTGTTTGCACTGCTGTCATTGCTCTCGAATACATTGTTTTCAACTTCTGCAGGGATCCTCTTTCATCAAAAGGCTCTGAAAAGTACATATGATGTAACATACCCGGACTTTATTCAACTCTAAAGTCAATGAGCCACACCAACACGAGAAATATCCCACTGGGAATACAATACACACACATCCCACAATAAAGATTAATTATAGTACTAGTCACAATTCCATTTGCCAGCTCCCAGATCATCTTGCCAAATGGCAAGCACAAGAAGAGCCAACGAAAGGAAGAGATCCCCCGACAACGCAAGCCGATACTGCAATGGCAAGGTCATCGCGTCCCCAGGTTGCAAGCAGAGCCCGAGGACAAGGGCGACAAAAATTAGATAACCAATAATGGAGGCGGTGCCTCCATAATAGTGGTTAAACTATTAAGAACAGATACTACACTTGATCTAAGCCAAAAGGCCAGAGTGGTAAAGATTCTGGATGTCTGTAGCCGGCCTATATACCAGGCGCCACCTGCGCACGGACCATCGGCGTTTGGCTTTGGCTTTGACGCGGTCATGTGCATCCCATGTATGTACTTACTCGCTCGCGGCTCACAAGGCAAACATGGCGACGCTGGGCTATCTTCAGTG